AGTGCGAGATGTCTAAAAACCGAGCGTTTTTTAGCTAGGCTCAAAACTAGGATACAAAATAGCCTATTACTTATTCATTTTGATGCTTTTGAATGCAAAAACCATGCGAACGTCATATGTTGACCTCAGACAACAATATAATACAATTTAAAAAGCCAGTTCATGACCCCTTTAATAAATAAATATAATTTATAAAACTGAATAAAATAATATATATAAACACATAAATATATTAAAAAAATCATTTTAAAAAATATGTGTAATAATACTAATTATAATTAAATATTACTAATTAAAAATAGTAAAATAAAAAAATTATAAAACTGTCACTGAACAACATGAGCACAAATTTAGCAATTTTACAATTCATTTACTTGTTTTGAAGTAAAGCTTTAAACAAGTATACAGTGTGATTCTCTATCGGTTGCAAATATGGAAACCAAAACATTTGCAGGGTAAATATCTGAGTAGAGAGGCATCTCTCAGCTGTCTGTGGTGGTCACTTACAGATGGACTGCTGTAAAATGCCCAAGAAGTGCACACTGTAAGTTGGCCAGACCTTATGCAACACGACACCTCAGTTCATCCATCTTATCCAGACAGCCACTCTGCCCACTGTTCAAACACGGGAGGATCTGCTTCAGAGCTTAGGTAACAGATGAGTTAACAGAAAGGAATCTAATTTCTGAAGTGACTCACCCAGTGTATTAATGCATATTATCAGAAGGCAATTTTCTAAAGCTAAATTGATTGAATTCAACTCATTCAATTGTTAACACAGGAGATTGGGGTTGTTGGGTTCATTTCTGGGTCATTAGGGTGCTGTCTGATGTAACATCTAAATATTTCCTCTCTTGACCTACTACACTCATTGATCTTATCAAGGCATTACACAGTCAAAGTCCATTGAGGTAAAGTGATATTTATAATCGAAACACGAATGAACCTATTATAAAAAATTGATAATCATAAAATTAACCATTTTGTTTTAATACTGTCAGTCAACACCACAAACTGCACAAAGTAACTAATCATGATGAAAATATTACATCATTACAGTATAGGTAGCGACAAGGGACTGTATTTATGAGTGAGCTAAATAATTCTTTCAACCGATTAAAAACAAATGATTGAGTCATTGAATCGTTCCTTCAACTGATTCGTCCAAAACACTGATTCATTCACTTTACAAGGTTGTCATTGAATCATTTACTCAACCAATTCATTGAAGAATAACGATTCATTCACTACTTTTTGTTGGTCCGAGACACGATGGATGGATGATTCTTCTGTGGCGGCTTCGTTTCAAAATCAAAATCGAGTCAAAATAAACAAAAATACCTGACCATATTTGATCTAAAACTTAAGTTGGTACTTTCCTGTTATCCGGACCCCGCCATATACCATTTAGGAACTATAGTCATCCCTGATTGGTCTTAACCCCAGTGACGGGTAGGTTAAGGGGTGGGGTTAGGGGTAGGCCATCGGTCTTGGGGTCCGGATAACAGGACAGTACCCGTTAGTTATTCAATATTACCTTTACTAGCATTTTTACAGAGCATCTAATGTGACCATTGTTGTGCAATGCTTAGTGAGTACTATGTGTGTTCACAGGAGCTATGAAACCTGATCCAGTTTAAAGAGATGCAGTTCACTTTAATAGAGACATGTATGTCATAACACACTCCTCAAACTGTGTTATGCTATGGAAAGTAGGTATACAGAGAGCTCTTCTGTTCTGTCAGGCCAGAATGAATGTGTCCATTTATGACTTGCGTTTCTCTTCAGGGTGACTGAAAGTGGCGATCTCCACACGCCACGCGAGTAATGCTTCTCAGCTGTCTGTCATGCAGCAAGCATATGATGTCACAACCTTGTCGTCCTTTTCCTGTGCTTGAAACAAAATGGAAAAACAAACAGCTGTAGGTGTAACATCCCCTCTCACGCTAAGTCAAGCGGGCTGCAGGCAAGCACGGTTAGTTCTAGGATGTATGCATATGGCGGGGAAGCCTGGTATTTCACACTTCTGTGAGGGCAGTGTGTGGTTGTAAACGGTAACAACAAGCTCTTGCTGAAGCTTCAGTCTTTCTTTTACTGCTGAGCAACTCTTCAGTCCTGACAGGACTGGATTCAAATTTGAAGTCCAGATTTTCATGTTATAGCTTTTTAAGATACTCTGTTTCTTAAAGTCACATTTTAGAAAATAATCGTCCGGCATCTGTGACTAAATGAGATCTTTGAACCTAATCTAGGCATTCAAATAACTGGTTTAGTGGTACTTTCTGATTTCTGCCTTTGGTGGAATGGCAACCACATGAAAGAAAACATATACGAACCAGTGTTGTTATAGTTAACTAAAACTATTACAAATAGTTTTCACTAATTGAAATAAAGTTGAAATAAAATTTAAATATTAGATGAAAAACCATAGAAATTTTGACTTGGCAACTAAAAAAAAAAGTTGAAATTGAATTACTAAACTAAAACTGAGATGACCAAAACGAATGCAAATTACAAAAGCACATAACAAATGTCCTAAACCTTAAATTAAAATGAAAGCGGAAACTTATGAAAATAAAAGCTAATTCAAAAGATTAATAAATACTTTAATAACATATAAATAATACTAAAGTAATACTGATGCGAACCATTTAATTTGCCATATATTTATTTAGGCCTATTTATTTTTGGGGATGCATGATGAATTAGTATTATATCAGTTATAAGCCAGTATTAGATATTTAATAGTTCATGCTCATTTCTCCTATACTTTTAGATTAAGATTACCATTGCTGCCCTTTAACACTCAGTTTATCTTTAAAAAGATGATTATTAACCTTTAATCTTTAAATTAATTTACTGGACATGAAATGTTGTGATGCCTAAATTATTTGATGTAAAACAGCTTAGTGTTTTATTTTTTATTAGTGGGCATGTATATTTATTATTGGCCATACAATCAGTACATCCATTTTTTTCAATAGAGACATGGAAATATATCACTTTGTGTATTTTAGTTGTTTAAGCAGATTGTGTTTGTCTTTTATTGTGACCTATAGTTGCAGATTAGATCAAATTTTATGACCAATTAATAATACATATATCCAATGTAAATCAGAGTTCATATACTTTTCCTGCAACTTTCACTTTGATGAAAGCATGAAAGTCATAATGCATCAAATTTGCTGTTTTATTTTGACATGTAATGTAGCTTTGCCCAGTGATTTGATCTGTTTGTTGCTCTCTGATACTGTAAAGTGGTGGGAGCTCCATGAATTACAGGATCCGCGGTAACCATGAGTTAGCAGGCGCACTCACTGCAGGAAATTAAAAGCTAGAGCTACTTCCTTTCAACTTCCCGCACAGCCTCTCATCTTGTGCCAGTGCCCTATTGAATAGTAAATTATTAGTCTCTGGCTTCCTTTTTGTCACAGACAGTTTACAGGAGACATTTACCTTGAAATAGACATTTCATGCTATTGTTCATATGGGCTGCTGTGCACAATGCACACAGTGGTTTCATATTGTTCAACTGACATTGCAGATGTAAGAATCACACTTTTCCTATTGTTAGATGCTTACTGGTCAAAATTACCACAATAAAGCCACAGTAGCTGGCTTTCTGTTCAGAATAAGTGTCACACAATGTATTGTGGTTTCCACAAAAATATTAAGCAGCACAACATAGTTTTCAAATGTTTCTTGAGCAATCATCATTACATCATTACATTCAAAGCATCATTACTCCAGTCTTCAGTGTCACATGATCCTTCAGAAATCATTCTAAAATGCTGATTTCCTGCTCAAGAAACATTTCTCATTATCAATGTTGAAAACTATGTTGTGCTGCTTAATATTTTTGTGGAAACCATGATGCATTGTGTGGCGCTTGTTCTGAACTGTATTGCAAACTACATTGTTCTCTCTGATGCTACTTGTATAACACCCACACTTTCATTTCTTTCAGATATTTTATATTTATGTTTGAGTATACATGGTAAGACATTTAAAAACCACACAGATAATTTTGGTGACAAACCATTACTGCTCAGCAGTTTTATATACCAGTTATTCTCAACAGAAATAATCTAAACATTGGAACTAAAACCTCTGTCTGTTGAACAGAGCGGTATTACTGTTTTTACCGCCTCAAAAAACAACCTCAAGATTTATATATAACCAGACAGTACCTCAGACATTTTGACTTTACAGCTTCTATTCATATAGCAAAAACGTTATTTTTATTGCACGTTTATTTAAGCCGTAAATATGAATGGGAGGCCTTACCACAATGAAAACAATGTAGGAAAGTTATGGAACACGACCAACAAAGCAGACTTAGAAGTAGACTTAAACCTCCCGGTAAGTAGATCATCTCCATGATATATACATACCATATTAAGGTCTCTCTTACAGTTTTTGCCTGTTGGAATGTTGGACAACTAATGCAAAGGCCAATTTTGCAATCTTGTGCCCAGATTGTCTCTGGATCTCCTCCGTAACCCTGAGATCTTCTCTAATCCCTGGCCAGTGTGATATGAATGTGTTTACAGACCCGCACCTGTCAGAGGAGCACTAAATCAGCCAAATCTGTGTTGAGTAAACCCAGAATGCCACACAGTGGGCCAGGGAGGTTCACTCTCTCCCCACAGGCGAGTGAGGAATTAAAAGATTAACCCTGAGGAGAGGCGCTGCTGCAACATTCCACACTTCTTCTGAAGACATGTATGCCTGTCTTTAGAAAAAGGAGGTGGACTTGTCTCAGCCTTCAACTTGGAACTAGCATTGACCTTGGTCTACAGAATCTATTTTAGGGTATTTCTGCCATGTAGCAGTTTGCTTTCAGGGTCAAAGATTCCCTTTATGAACTTGTTTTATAATCACTTTGACCTTTCGTGCCATGCACAGAAGATTTCAGTCATTTAGACTTGCATTGGCACAACTATATTCTCACGAGACACAAACATGCAGTAATAAAAAGCAGCCACAGCCAATAAACATCTGTTTTACAATGTCTATAATCTGTTTATTATTCTGAAGTATGTACCAAAATAATTGCTATAACATAAAAATAGCATTGTGTAACTAAGTCAAAATGTTTACAGTCAAGCATCACTAAATGTACAAAAATAACAACACAATAAAGATACAAACAATGAAGAACAGAACATCCTCACGTCAGTGTGCAAACTGTTTATACAGATGGAAATGCGTCCTTCTCAGGTGGCATTCCATGATAAATTATTTAAATAGCATTTATCTACACACACATATGAAACAGTCTTACAAACAGAAACAGAGACAACAAATAGAGCAATAATTTATCAACAACAAAAAAAAAAAGTACTGGACATTGAAGCACTGGCAAATGTATTCCTAAAAAAAATTGTTGTCTCCCATTTTACTCTGTTTTCCATTGGGATGTGGGGCTGGCTGTTTGTTCTATATACTATTTACAACTTGTGCTACAGTAGCAGTAAGGCAACCAATTTGTTTTCTTTAAGCAAAGGAAAAAGTATTTAAAAGGTTTAGTTTGATCAAATTACAAAACAGCAATGAGGTAATATTTGTACATTAAGGTTTTCCTTTATCTCTCTCTCTTACAGAAAAGGTCAGAAGATCATCTCCGTTGGAAGAGATGGATGAATGTCTTTTTGACTGGAAAGGCTTGGATGAGTAGTATTGGACAGGCCTTTGGCTATGAAGATTTTGTTGTTTTTTAGTTGTTTTTTAACGAGGCTTATCTTAGCAAGACCCTCTCTTATGCTTCTTGAAGCAAAATCCCAGCACAGTCTAGCCAATGTGTAAGTGCTACATATAGAAGTCTAAAAGACTTAAACTCAACTTTCCCTTAGAAATTAGCATCTCAAACAAAACCTGGCATTTTATTTGAAAAGAAGGCTAGAGTACTTGGTAATCTAGTATCCGTATGTGGCTAAATCATTTCCTGTAACAGAGAATCTTCAATCCTGGGTCTGTCCAATTGCTCTTCATACAACCTTTCATTATGCCATTTCTAATGTATTGTTAATATGGTTTAACCATCTAGCCCTGAGAAAACTATGCCCACTAAACCATGAGTTATCTCCTGCCAGACCTGTATGAATGTACATTATACTTAAGATGAGCCTCTGCCAAGCAAATCTTTTAGATAGACAAACAGAAATTTAGATAACATTCAATAAATGACAGATTGGTCCTCTTAAAAATCCCCTACTTTCAGCAACCACAACAATATATATATATATATTATTTCACCTATACGATCTTTAAAATGTTTATTGCTTCAATATCTTAAAACATTCTCATTGCTTTGTTCCTAGTCAAGAAATCGGTTTAAGGTTTTGAGAAAATACTGAAAAGTTAAAAGGGTTTTGCTCTCTCTTAAGTAGCCATAATTTGGGGATCTTTTCAGGAAGAGAGCATGAAAACACATGAGAGAGAGAGAGAGAATAAAGGTTTTGAAGTGCATAGCTGTCTGTTGGGAGCTCTTCCCACACAGAGCCAAATGAGGTTTTTCAGAGAGAGATCTCAGTCTTCCCAATTAAGCAAAGCAAGGAAGACTTTCTTCTGCTCTACCTGCTAATGGTGGAGGAGTCCAGATATTCTGAATCGGCAGCCACGTGTTTTCTATCCCAACCAGTGACAATTACATTGAAATTGACCTCCTGCTTTCTCACTCCACCAGAGTGTGAGCAGAACTAGTAACGTCAAATCAGTCCCTGGACTTTGCCCGGAATACATAATTATATGGAAAGGTGCATTCTTTGATAAACTTCCTGTGCAATTACACATCTGAAAAAGAAGCGAAAGACAGAAAGTGTTAATACCGAGTATGTAACTAAAAGCAAGCATTTATTTGGATGCCAATGCAATGTGTTGATCTCACCTCTGCATTCATATTTGAGGTCTGAGAAGTACACCATCTCTTGTGAGAAGACAAAGAGACCCAGTCTTCCGCCTGCATACGTTTTGTCATAAATTCTGCCAGAATCTGCCATGATCTTTTTGCCTTCATACATGACCACCCTGACATTTGTAGAGAAAATGTTGTTAGCACATTCAAATATAATCAATAACAATATATCCTCTGGAGATATAAATTCAAATATACCTTATATGTCCAGTTCTTGGTCTATGAGTCAGGTGCCATCTGTAAGCAGTGAAGTCCTTCCATCCCACGTTCTTCGGGTCATGCCACAGTGTGCGCACCTGAAATTAATTGAGGTCAGAAATGTTGGTACTCATATACAGCTTTCAAACCTGATTTTTATCACAGTGACCTCAGTGAGATTTACCTGTCCTGGGGTGTCTCCGGTGTGCCAAAGGGCGTTCCTCAGATGCTCGCCTGGCCCTGTGGTGGAATTAACCACTTTGATTGATAGCCCCGAGTAACCCTGTGCTTTGGTTGGTGTGCTGGACCAGTAGGTCTGTGTGATCTGTTTCCACATGACCACATAGAAGCGAGAGCTGGATTGGTATCCGAAAACAAAGCCGGCATAGTCATCGTCCCTCTCTGTGTTGATGAAGAATGTTCCACTGAAGTCGACTGAATTGAATTCATCAAAACCTTTGAAGAAATTTTGAAAAACAGGTCAGAATTTTGTTTGGAATTATGTATGGAAGCTTGTTTCCACCACAGAAATATAAATAACAAAAGGAATTCTGACTTTTCTTGTAATTGCGAGTTACATTCATTTACATTTTTATTTCAGTAGATTCAAATGTTTTCAGTTGGTTTTCATTTTAGTTTTTGTTGAAAACTGAATAGTGACCAAAAAGTTGCATTAATATTGTCTGTTTTTGCGAGCTTTGGTACTGTGGGATTTTTTTCTTCTCTATTTATGATATTAGTTTATATCTTACACACTGCCCAGGTTTCTATTTATTATTTATTGTATTTTTTTTAAAGACTAGACGTACCAACAGCAATGCCGGGGTCGCAGTTGACTGTCTGAACCAGTTCTTTTCCTTGGTGGCGCACCACCCAGTTGGGGTCAATCTGAGAAGTGCCCTTGGGATCCAGAGGTACCATCTGGAATTTGCGGAAGTCTGTTACACTAATGTCAAAGTTCTCAGGACACACGTCATAGATATCTAGGACATTGTCCTGGTCAAAGTCGTCTTTACAGGCATCGCCACGTCCGTCGCCTACAAATGAAGAAGTTAAACTCATAAGTAAAAATCTTTACATGAATTAATGCAATAGTTATGCATATTCAGAGGCAAAACTGACCATCAGAATCCAGTTGATCTGGATTGAAAACCAATCTGCAGTTGTCTTTGTCATCAGGGATGCCATCATTATCATCATCGTAGTCACAGGCATCTCCTTTACCATCCTTGTCGTGGTCAGCCTGGTTCGCATTGGGGATGTACGGGCAGTTGTCAAGGTTGTTTTGGTGACCGTCCTCATCGATATCCTGGTTGCTGTCACATTTGTCTCCAACACGGTCCGAATCAGAGTCGAGCTGTTAGAGTGAGAGGGCAGAATCAGTAAGCATCCAAATCCCATTTTTTTTAAGTGAATCTCTATGGCTTTCTCAAATAAAATATTCCCACTTTTTCTAAAAGGCAAAAAGTTCTGTACGAGTTGGCCCATCTGTGTAGGATTTTTTAAAAAGTAATCTCACGTTCCTGAAGCTTGGCACTACCACAGTCACATTTCAGAGTCTAATGAGGAAAGGAGGGGTGCATTCCTTCTCTTCAGTTAACCATGGCACAGGTGTGATCCGCAGGGATTGAGTGCCGACAGGGCATGCATAAACCCAACGGCAAATCTCTCACTCCTCACTAATAACCATTCTTTACCTCCACATATCCTTTGAGTTAATTGAACACTAGTGAGTGTCTCTGAAAAGCCTCCTATTGCTTTATTGTGTGGCTATGGCTTCAAGGAGAAGAGGATTTACTCCTCCCATACATAGCTTAGTAAAGACTGAGACTACCCTCTGGGTATTTTTTTTAGCAGCTGAACTGAACAGCACATAGATCTCTGTTGATTATATAATGGTTTGAAAACACCTGCTATATTCACTCACTTGTTATAAGTCTCACATACATGTATATACAGTACATATACCTGATCTGGGTTGTGTTCCAGAGGGCAGTTGTCACACTGGTCACCAACTCCATCGAGATCAGTGTCTTTCTGGTCGACGTTGTATAGATATGGGCAGTTATCGTTCTCATTCAAAATACCTGTCAAAAAGAAGGATATTATGGTGAAGATTGAATTACATTTATCTCTAAACAAGAGAGGATTCTCATTAAACCTGTCAAGAAATCTCCAGGTTGCATTTGATTTTAAAAAATTAGGATTTATTATGAAATTGATATTTGCTGAATTATGAATATTTTCAAGGCCGTTTTTCAAGGAATGGCCCATGTATGGATAAATAAAGAGCAATTTCGTACCGTCTCCATCAATGTCCACAGCACAGGCGTCACCTTCACCATTGTTGTCAGTGTCAGTTTGGTCTGGGTTACTGTTGTACGGACAGTTATCGCAGCGGTCTCCCACTTCATCGCGATCATAGTCGTACTGTCTTGGGTTGAAGATGAGTGGGCAGTTGTCCTATTTTAAAAGAGACCACAGTTCAGATGGAGAAATATGGCAAAGCAACTCTTCACAGGCCCCTCTCACACGAAGGTTATTACTTTTAGATGTTAGGCTTGTAATTTGGCTGCGGCTGTGTAGGTCTATTTAGAGGAGCGCAACGATAAAAGCAAGCCTTATTTTAGGATTTGGACCAAGGATAATATTGGATTAGCGAGATACACTGCAGGTCTTTCAGAAAGGTACTTTGGTGGAATTTGAGGTTTGTCTCCAAAAGAAACTGAGTTTGCTTTACACAGCACTTTTTTTCCACACCTCAGCCTGAATTTCAAACGGCTTTACTTTTTCTCTTCATTCATGCACAATGAACAAATATTCACTTGACTGGATTGAGCATCTGTGGAATATATACAGTGAACAGTATTGCAACTATATTTTTTACCCTGTCATCAGGAATGCCGTCGTCATCATCATCATCATCACAAGCATCACCAATTCCATCCTTGTCGTAGTCCTCTTGCCCAGAGTTGGGAAGATTGGGGCAGTTGTCCTTCAAAAAGAGTAGTGTATGAAAATTAAAAATAGCCGCAATGATGTTATTTGTATTTTTTAATAACAAACGAAGCCATTATATGCCAACCTTTTTGCAGTGATAAGTTGCGTTCTCGACACAAACAAGATCAGCATTAGGCCAGCCATCAAGATCAGTGTCCTCTCCACAAATGTGTCCATTTCCAGCGTAGCCAGGTCTGCACTCACAGCGGTACATAGGGTCTGAGAAATGGCCCAGGTAGTTGCAGCGAGCGTTCTTATTGCAGTCGTGGCTTCCATCGAGGCAGGGATTACGAGGCGTGCACACCTGGAGCAAAGATAAATCAGTCAGCATGCATTAGTTCATGAGCAGGTGCACGCTGGTAATCTGTAATCTATCTGTGTTCTTTCATTTACCTGTTTCTTGGCAGCAGCGTCCTCCACTCCTCGACCAAATGGCTGTGGACCGGTGTAGCGAGTGGGGCATGGCAGGCAGTTGTAGCCCGGCACTGTGTTCTCACACCTATGGACTCCATTAAATTCAAAGCAGGCATCAGGGACATCCTCACACTGCAATGACGAGAAAATGAATAATGAGATTTTTGCATCCCAATGCATTGTAGTCATAAGAGCATAAGCATAAATAATTAAAAGAAAAGAAAAAAAAACAATAGCATTTTTTAGAAAAGTAGGGATAAATGATATATTATTTTTCAAAATGTATTATTTTATTCATTTTATTGGTTTCGGTTGATTTTGGATCTACATATTGGATGATATTTGACATTTAACAATGCTTGCTGATTTTCTCTATTTTCCACATTTCTATTAACTTTAACCAATGCAAGGCCTAAAACTAGGCTTAAAGGAGAACTCCGGCGCAAAATGAGCCTTTGGTCTAATAAAACATTGGTACCTAGTCATCCGTTCTCTGAGATTTGTTTTCATGATAATTGTATCTATAGATTTTTATCTCTAAAAACTGTTTAGCGGATAACGCTAGTATACTGTATGGGGGCATTTAATAAGTAAAAAGAAATCGCTAGTTAATACCACTAACAAGTCTCAGAATAGCCCCACACTAACACAGTAACATAATGAGGGTCCCTACATGCAAAACGAAGCATTGAGAACTTTGTACGTGTACAGACCGTTTAATAATAAGATACTTAATAAGTTTAATAAGAAGATAGACAGTCCACTTTGTGTATACAGGCAGGAGCCATCTTTGGAAAACTGTCTCGACAAGTCGAACCACGCACTCCGTTCATACAGTTCAGAAGTGTGCTGAACTTCATACAGTTCAGCTCACTTGGTACGTCGGTCGTGGTTTGACTTATCGAGACTGTTTTCCAAAGATGGCTCCTGCCTGTAAATCTAAAAGTGACAACTGATTTGACTTTTTGACTGCACCTCATTGATATCCTTGCAGTTGATCCCATTGCCAGTGTATCCTGGGGGGCATTTTCCACATTGCCAGGAGCCATCTGGGAAGCTTGTACACTGGGCTCCTTCAAAGCATGGACTTGAAAGACATCCATCTGTGGAAATGCACATATGTGATTGTTTTAACTTGAAAGACACACTAGTAGCATCTGAAGAGTTGAGTGACACTATAACTCACCAATTGGACAGGCTTGTTTGTTGCAAACCTGGCTGGCTTTTGCGTGTCCCAGGCAGTCTTTGCCATCATACTTGGGCACTGGATTATTGCAAAGACGCTTACGATTTTGGACACCACCACCACAGGTAGCGGAGCATATGTCCCAGGGTGACCATGGTCCCCAGCCACCATTGACTATGAAAAAAGATACATTTTTTTTTTTTTTTAGATTTTTCAGTTGAAAAAAAAAAGTAAAACCCTACACACGGTGTTCACTTACTCGGACATGGTGATTTCTCACACCTCTCAGTTTGCCGACCTTCACCCTGGCAATCTTTGCCTTCCATTTGAGGTGTTGGAGAGTTACAAAGACGAATGCGAGTGATAACGCCAGCACCACAGGTGACCGAGCAGGAGGACCAAGGTGACCAGTGACTCCAGCTGCCATCTTGCTTAACTGATGAAAATAAAAGATGGAAATTGTTAACTTTTTCCCTAGACTGTGAGGAAAAACTGCAGACACTATTGTCGTTGGACACCACTCACAGCGCTTGTCACACTCCTGGAGGTAGCAGTCTCTCGTCTGCACCGACGTGCCCTCGCAGTTGTTATTGATGCGGTCGCAAGAGCGGCCGCGCTGCTGAATGCCCCTTCCACAAGACACAGAACAATGGGTCCATTCAGACCAGGGGGACCAGCCATCCTCAGCGGAGTCGCTCGCTGTCGAGAGAGCAAAACAAGACAATAGCAGAGCTATTCCTTCTTTCTAAAGCAGCAAAATGGAGAAAAGCTTTTAATACTGGGCCTTAATGGACTCAATTTAGCCTGGGCAGCTCGAGACGGAGCACTCCAGGGAACCCTGGCATGAACTAAGCAGTCGGAATGCTGGGGAAATGTCAGTGTACTTAATGCACAGGGATACCTTTGAGTCCTTCTCTAAATGTGGAAATGGTATTTGCAAACATCCTTGATTATGCCATAAGTTCAAACACTTAAGGCTGATATTAATGTAAATTGTTGCTATGCATGGCAAGGCCTCAAGACGTGAGGAGAATGCAGTTTCTTTTTTGAGTCTCTGCCAAACAGCACCAATTTTCCACCTCTCTTTAACCAATTTAGACAATTATGGCCATTTAGCAATTCAGTGATGCACAAAGCTCTAGTGTTCCATTCATTAGTTAAACTCCAGTTGAATTCTATTGTGTGATGCTACAATGGCTGCAGATGTTTGGGTAGCAACAGCTCTTTCAATACAAAAGCTTTTTAAAGTCAAAATGTTGCCCTTTTTACAATACGTTTAAGTTTACGTTATTTTTTTTTTTTCAGTTGTACATTTACAGTCTGTGCACAAGGCTTTTAGCCTATGGATAAATCTCTTGCTCTCCAAAGCTGCATTTATTTGATAAGAAATACAGTAAACTGAGTAATATTGATTATTACAATATTAAAATAACTGTTTTTTAATTTAATATATTTTAAAGTGTAATTCATTCCTGTGATGGCTAAGCAGAATTTTCAGCAGGAGTCACATATATTTGTCCATCCCGATTTGGTGATTTAAGAAACTTTTATTATTTTAATATTCAAAACCGTTGTGCTGCCGTGAACTGTGATTCTTTGATTTTATTTTAAATAGAAATATTTTGTAACAATTGGAAATCTGAAATATATATTTTTCCAATGTAAATATCTTTTGATTACTTAATGTGTCCTTGCTGAATTATCAGTTGTTGTTGTTTTTTTTTTAATGTACTGACCTTAAGCTTTTGAACAGTATATATATAACCAACATGTAAATTATATTATTGAAATGATTTCAATTAAAAGTGTGTAAAATGTGTTATGAAGAAGCTGTTGCACTTACGGGTTCCACAACGAGGGCAGCATTCCCCATCAGGCACTGTGGCGTTTGCACACGGGATTAGGGGACACGAAATCTTGCGGCACACCGTTGCAGATTTCTGCGGTTGATAAAATGACTCTCGTTAAAGGATCTGCCACAACTACTGCATATGACATTAAAAACCATAGTCTCTTGCTGTAGTGCGACACCACATTCAACATTACAATTTTGATTTAAGTAAAGTGGATAATATGGTTATGTTTTAAGTCTGTGTAATTAGCCAAGCAAACATTCCTCAGTGTTGATATGATGTGGCACTGCAGAAAAACTAGGCTAAAGGCATGAAAATAATTTTACATTACGTTTATAAGCTTTTGTTCAGTTGACTGTATTCCTTTAGTTACATCCATGTCCCACTTTTAATTAGAGACTAGGCAGTTTAGGGAAATGGATACACCCAGCTTAAGTCTGCCATAATGGACAAGACTAAGACCAGAACTGTGTATCATAGCTCCTAAAGTGACATTGCTCTCCTCTCGCTAACACACTAATCAGCGGTTCAATGACAGAGCAGGCAGCTCTGAAAGTCTAACATGTCTTGGGTTCTTACCTGGCAAGTGCACTCTGTGCAATCGTCCACCGTCCATTCGTCCTTGTTTTTGTGCACTATTCCATTGTGAATACACACACCAGCATGAATGCCAATGTGATTCATGAGCATGTTTTTCTCATCTGTCTGGAAAACCAAACAAACATTGGGGTTTGATTATGTAATTTACAGCATGTCCACTACACAATTTGAATATATTAATATATCTACATGCAGAAACTTTTCTCCTCACCACTTTGCTGAGTTCTTTGGACAGTTTTTGCACCACCACACCAAGACCTTTCAGTTCCTTAAACATGCCAGCCAGTTCCTCACAAGAGAAGCCACAAATCATCTGTAGATCTACATAGGAGAAATATGCAGTTTGCAAAGTTTAAAATTGCATTGACTTTCTCAACCTACGTGTATATTTTGTATGTTTTATTTGTATGGATTACTGAAAAGAGAGGATTACCTTTTGTTTTGTGGCCAGTGTAATCAGTCCTGATTGCAGGTCTGGATCCATTTATGGGATTGTCAAGGGTGATGATATCAGTCATAATTGCTGCAAGAGGAATGGGCATTCAGGAGGATTAAAGTGTATTCTAAAAATTATTGAGCTAATGGAAAGTTTAGTGAAAAACCAATGACAGTGAATAGAGGCAGCTTCAAGTTTTTATCTTGTGTTACTATTGCTCATTCAGTGGCACACAATGTAGTGCAAGTGGAATGATGACGTGATCATTGAATGCCCGGATCTATTTTCTATCATTTTCTGTCTTTGGCCTATTTCTTTTTAAAATATTAAGAAAACTTATAAACATGGGCACAACGATTTAATTTATCATCTTTTCGTCTTGATTCACATGCATGTTTTCGACATTGCACTTACAGTTTTGGCATCCTTTATTCCTCAGAATCGCATCCAGTGTGGTTCCGAACACAAAGCGCACGTTTTGCAAAACCCCCTAAAAAAATCCACAAGTTATTAATGCTTCTCGCTGCATTTACCATGCAACAAGACTGATACAGTGAACCGTCCACTCACCATAAACCTGTCCTTTACTGCGCCCTTGCCGATCCTCAAGCTCGCCACACCTGGGGTCTCCTGAGTGAGGATCGACTGGATCGAAGCATCGAGCTCCGCAGTGTTCACCTCTTCACATCCCACATAGAACTGAACCCTGTCCTCCTGTACGAAAAGAGTGATGTTTTTCCAGTGTCCCACCGCCAAATCCGCTTCCTCGATGGACACGACCTGTTGCTTGTTTTCAGTGGAAAACACAATGTCCAGAGTGTTGGCTTTTCCGTTGGAAACGATTTCAAAAATGGGTCCGGAGCCGTCATTCTTTTCCACGGTCAGAAGGCTTCCCCGTGTGTGCTTGAACTGCTTGAAATTGACCAGGAGCAGAAATCCTCTCTCGGCATGAATGGAATCGATTAGGTCCCTGAAGGCGCTCTCGGGAACCGGGGGAATCAGGTCGGGGTTCAGGATCTTGTAGGCGGGGCTGTACGGGTCGTCGCCTTTCACCAGGGTGACCCCGTGGTTTTTCCTGGGCACTTGGACGAGCTCAAACAGATCGTAAACACTGTTGTCGTCTCGACTTTCTACCAGGAATTCAGAAGTGAAAGAAATCTAATTATAATGTGCTAAACTGTAACGTATATTTTTTTAAATTTATTACACGGCTCTTTGGAATGCTTGATTCTGAAATGTTCTGAATAAATATATCTGACCGCTCATAAGCGGGTTCCTTTATAAAAATGAAGATGAATCAGTATTTTATTATAATACTTTTTGTTAAGTTGCCGTAAAATAAGCCACAATGTATAGAAAGCCAAAAAGTAGCCAATTATTGCGATAATTAACAAGTGACTGTATTATTTTAATACGTAACAGCTAGTTATGTATAGTAGTAAACCACAGCAGCACTCACAAACGCTAAACGACATCAGTTGGTCTAGTTCGCTCACCTGCGACTCTCGCGCTCTCGCAGTTCCAAAGCATCAGTAGCAAAAAGATTGCACTTGACTTCATTTTGTCACTTATTCTTTTACCAATCTGGAATCATAAAGGTAAGTTAAAGAAAAAAAATCAGTAAAACGTTACCTTAACAGTTTGATCAATCAATGGTAAAAAAAAACAATAGGAAAACGCACCTTTAACACGTTTAAAACATCAGCAAATCCAGGGAAAAGTGATTTAATTCCTATAAGATTCGTCAATCAAATGTTTCAAAATAATGATTTTCCTCTTTAGTCGCGATCTACAGCACTCAGTGACTTTGTTGTAGTTACAGTGGTCAATCTAACTATCACTAAAGAGAACAAAGTGCTATTTAAATAGTTTCATGACATTCCTGAGCATGCGTCTCCTCCAATCAGATGCTGGAAGGAAAAAGGGACGAGCTTGCGTTACCTCACAGCGAGTTTGTCTGAGTTATACACGAGGGGAAAAACGCACCACATTCCAACGAACACATTCCATAAACATACATAGCCTACATGATTTAATGACCGCTGCTTCCGCTTAGTGCCTTTTTATTTGCCGCGCTGCTGATTATTTTGTTTTGACGTTCGGCTTTTTGCAAAGTTATTCAATAATTCCTGTTATTTCATAAAGGCACAGAAGACGGCTCTACTCTGCTTTTGTGTAGGCTATAGGCCTAGGCCTACATATTGTATTTTATTTCAAGCCATCTAAAACGAAAGACCAAAGCTACGTTTTCATGTTCAAGTGGCTAATTTATTTGGTTAATGTTTCTTATAACTTTCTTTTAACGCTTTACCCTTGTGTTCGGTACCATTCGCAGCATCTGATAGAGGATGCTCGTGGAGAAAAGGCTGCAGTTACTTGTGTCTCCGCTAGAGGCCGTTCTGTGTTTATTTGAGCATTTGTTTCTCCTCGGGTCCCAATGTTGATTGTTTTTAGGTTAAAGCAACTTAAAACTCTATAAAATGCTGTTGTTTTTAGGTTAAAGCAACTTAAAAATCTATAAAATCAGTTAATAAGGCGGTATTTTGTCACATTTGGCTATATGTAGGACGTTGTTAAGCTGCCATGAAGTTGCCTATTGATTATTTGCAAAAACACTTAAAACAATTATAATACACAATTTACAAAGTTGTCAAAAAGCCTAACCTTAAAGTAACCATGACATTAAAATGATGTCAGATGTAACTGATGATACAAGAGGTTATGCATCAGTCAGCCATAAGGTCCATCATTGCTTTGTGTTGACTCTTTGTGCCCCGTGGCCACTCAGGTCTATTGTGCTCACAGATACGGCACCCGGACTCAAGAGATGCTGTCAGTCTGATTGTCTCCGACATAACTCAGCTAAGTGGCTTCCAAAGCTCTGTCATGGATACCATACTTTCTCCCAATGACACACACAAGCTTCAAGTGTGGAACTTGTGTGGACCGGTTCCAAAGGTGGAGGAGAAAATATTCTAGTTATGGGGCAGCTGCTTACATTTGGTGTAAAGCTTCATAAATAAAGACATCTTTCCCGAACGATCACATTTTTACGTTTATGCATATTTTCTGGATTCTTTTTTAAGCTTACTTAAAGCAGTATGTCTGAGCTGTCATGGCATGCACAAGTCCAGGAGATAAGTGCGTAAGATATGACCCATCAGACTGAGCAATTATCTACTCACTGTCCTATAAATACAGGAGGGGCAGACGAATTTCAGTCCTGTTATTACTCATCGTATTTCTTCCAGATTTAAAAACAACCTTGCACAACCACCATTTCACCAACCTTTTTTGCCTCTTTGCAGAAAGTGCCATGGGGTCTATTTGTAAGCTTGTTTGGATACTTACATGCACAAAAACTTCATCATTTTTGTGAAGTGTGTTGTGTTGAGGGGGTTAACTAATGTTTTGAGTAGCTTATTCCTGACAGAATAAACCATGAGTTCTATCATAAATAAAGCATTTTTTCTTGTCTAAATATGTTAACCAGAGAATTCAGAAGTAGATAAACCAATAAACAACAAAATCATTGTAAGACATCAAATATATATATATATATATATATATATATATATATATATATATATATATATATGAAGAGTTCAGATGCAAAAGCCTCTAAGTGCCATTTGAAATTTTCTTCTAGAATGATCATTTTTATCAAGCTTGTATATTTAAGTTCAGTGATTTCACTTAAATGGCAATGATAATTACCTATTGTTATTTAGGTGAAATTACTGAACCTAAATATACAAGTTTGATAAAAATCACCATTAAAGAAGAAAATTTCAAATGGCAATTAGAGGCTTTTGCATCTGAACTCTTCATATATATATATACACACACACACACACACACACACACATACACGGATACATAGATGATGATTCTGTTGTTTTGGTTTTATATATTTTATATATAAACTGTAATAAAATATATTTATATATTTAAATTAAAAATTTCATTTAAAAATCATACATGTGTGTGGCTATAGATCATTTTAAATAATTCATAAACTGTAAAAAAATAAATAAAAAAGAGTTTAAAAAATAGTTAAATATAGTTAAAATGGCTTTGAGTAAGTTAAAGTAATGTAAAAACATAACAGAATGATTTTTATAATTTGTCAGGATGAGCAGTATTAAGCCCCACTGTCTTAAAGGAGTAGTTCACTTTTCAAAAAACTTTTGCTGATAATTTACTCACCCCCATGTCATCCAACATGTTCATGTCATTCTTTCTTCAGTATAAAGAAAGTAAAATTTTTGATGAAAACATTCCAGCATTTTTCTTCCCAATTTAATGGACTTCAGTGTGAACCAAACAGTTCAAGGTCCAAAAGACAGTTTCAGTGCAAACTGCAAACTGTTCAAAGGGCTTTAAAGGATTCCAGGCAATGAATAATGGTCTTATCAAGCGAAACGATCGCTCATTTAATAAATAAATAACAAAGATTAAGTTTTATAAGCTCAAATGCTCGCCTTGCTCTGTTTTGTGACGCACGTTTGTGACTCTCCTGTTCATGTTCACAATGAACAAATCTTTTTCCGAGTCATGTGGTTCATTAAACGAACAAAATGAACGAATTGACTCGGAAAAAGATTCATCCAGAAAAATTCTGGAATGTTTTCATCAAAAACCTTAATTTATTTTCGACTGAAGAAAGAAAGACATGGACATCTTGGATGACATGGGGGTGAGTAAATTATCAGCAACAGTTTTTTGAAAAGTGAACTACTCCTTTAAATCTTCCTAATGGACTGGAATACCTTCCCTTACTGAACCAAAACAACTTCTGTCTGAGACCAGCCATGCTTTGGAGTGTTGATTCAGAGACACTTAAGCATCTTGTTTATGTCTCTCAGCAAGTTATGCGCAGGAAAAGCTGTATTGAAGAGCATTGAATCAGCAGAATGGCATGTTCAGATGAATTCATCTCTAACCCGAGGTCACAGGCCACACAGGACCATTAAGTAACTAAAGAGGCAGATTTGGTCTGCATATTTTGTCACAGACTATTTTGTATGAGTTTTTTGAGCCTGAATGTAGTAATTCATCCTTAAACCGGTCTTGAATTAGAACAAAACAGCTGGACCGTTTCAGATGTAGGATTAGGGTGGACTGTGACCACCTGTGCAGCTGTTCCAGTAATCCACACTTTACCTGACACTCGGTGAGCGTGCCAGGATCATGGCCAGCAGATCTTACAGATGAAAGGAGATTTGTTTCCACAGGTCCCCATATTATACGAGTTGCCGAATATCTTTCAGTGTCAGAGAATGCTTTCAGCCTCTGTTCCATCATCTCTCTAGCAGAAGGTAATGGTGTGCCAGCTTTCTTTTAATGTGTTTCCATGCACAATGTAATTCGCATTCCTGAGTCTAGTTAGCGGTAAAAAGAAACACTATGTTCTGAATAATTTTGCAGTGGTTGCCTGAGAGCAAGCCACTTCATTCCACTCCTGAAGATTCACACCATATTTGGCCAGTCGGGAACGCTTTGTGACATAAGTCATGAGAATTGCACCTCTGATTTGCATTAGCTTAATAATTAGCACAATAATGTGAGGACATTTACTGAGGCAAATATTGTTAAACATAAATTCATAACTCTAGAAATAAAGTGAATGTTGCTCAAATTTGAAATTTTTGCTGAATCAAATTGTATCATCTGGTTAATTTCATAACTAGAAGTTTATTGACCTCAGTGTTGTTGTGGTCTGTTCTCAGGATGTAGTTCAAATTAAGTCTCGCTCAGAGCGTTCCTTACTCGTGTAACTCAAAAATGGACATGACATCATTGCACTCTGGCAAACTGATTAATTCTCCTCTGCTAGTTGCTTATCACAGTTTTAAGAAGTGGAAACATCTGTATATTTTACACAGAAGCACAACCTTGTTGACCCAGGTGGCAGGAGACCACATGCCGTCATCATTAAGAGCTTTAACCATTCTGCTACCGTTGTCCGTGATCTTATCTCTACCAAACCAGACACACATCATCAGTGATGTTTTACAGACAGCCATCACTTGACTCCATCAAACCAGACAGAAGCATACACCGTTTCCTTATATCCTTTAATCAGCCTCAATCTGATTTGAGCAACATTTATTAATATATCATTTTATACTTCTTTAATTATTTGAATTAATCCAGTAATTTAATAATTCAAATAAATGTAATAATTACAATGCATTTAGTAATTATTTATATTTATTGTTTATTTTATAATAAATAAGAATAATACTTTTAAACAGTTTATAATAAAAATAATTTGCATGTCTTTTTAATTAATTTAAATAGTGTAAATTAAAGGGATACTCCACTTTTTTGTGGAAATATAACTCATTTTACTCATTTTACAACTCCCCCAGAGTTAAACTGTTGAGTTTTACTGTTTTTGAATCCATTCAGCCAATCTCTGGTTCTGGCCGTACTACTTTTAGCATAGCTTAGCATACATCATTGAAGTGCACAAGACCATTAGCATTTTAAAAAAAAAATGGCCGAAGTGTTTCAATGTTTTTCCTATTTAAAACTTGACTCTTTTGTAGTTACATCGTGCACTAAGACCGACGGAAAATATAAAGTTGCGATTTTCTAGGCTGATATGGCTAGGAACTATACTCTCATTCCTGCATAATAATCAAGAAACTTTTCTGCCGTAGTTGTAAAATGAGCCTATTTCCAAAAAAAGTGGAGTATCCCTTTAAAAGGATCTCTGCAGCACGGCTCAATTTTCTTTAATTTATTTATTTATTCAAAATGAATAAACTCTCATGTGTTTCCTTTTTATTATTTGTAGATCAGAACACAAGTAAAATAAATATACTGCAGTA